ATACCATTAAGACACATACTATTAATCATAATAGCCATATTAATAGTATTATTAATAATAATAATATCAACACTACTAATACGACTGCTATTCTTACTATGGATACTCAGAATAACAATACTAACAATTATACTAATAAGAAGAGGAGGATAGTGAGGAGGTGGAGGAGACGGAGGAGGAAGAGGAGGAATACGTAGGAGGAGGAGGAGTATGTAGGAGGAGGAGGAGGAAGAGGAGGAGGAGGAGGAGGAGGAGAAGAAGGAGGAGGAGGAGGAGGAGGCGCGCCCGCAGGCCTCTCTCCAGGTGCCCTTTCAGGCCGTCGCCCAGATGGTCCCCATGATGGCGGCGCCTGTCGCGGGCTCGGCCGCGGGGGGGCCGACGTCGCCATGAGGAAGCTTGTCCTGAGGGAAAGCGGGTCCCTCCTCCCCCTTCCCCCTGCTCCATCCCCCTCCCTCTCTTCCATCCCCCTCTCGCGCTCGTCCTCGCCCTACTCTATTCCCTTCCTCCTCCTCCTCCTCCTCCTCGTCCTTCCTCTTCTCCTCCTCCTCCTCCTCCTCCCCTCCTCCGCCATCCCCCCCCTTCCTCCTCCTTCCTCCTCCTCCTCCTCCTTCCTCCTCCTCCTCCGTCCCCACTCTTTTTTTTGTGTGTGTGTGTGTTTGTTCTTCCTATAATTCGTATTATGATTATTCGTTTTATTCTGATTAAACTTATGATAGTAAGTATTATGTTTTTTCTTCTTTTTATTATTCTTTCTCCTGCTCCTCCTCTTCCTCCTCCTCCCTCCTCGTCTCTCTCCCTCCCGGTCCTTCTCCTCCCCCTCCTCCCCCTCTCGCCCTCGTCCTGAGGGCCACGGATCCTGACGGAAACGGGTCCTTCAGGGGCATCGCCTGGGGGATATGTAGGCTCAGGGGGGGATGCATCGATCCCCGATCGCCTATTCATCGCCGACCGAGTTTTGGTAGCCCACCCCGCCCAGGAGCCTCTTCTGCCTTCGTCCCCGCCTCCCCCTACTTTTTCTCCACATCATTGTTTCTCGTCCCTGCTGCTGTTTCTCCTCGCTTTTTATCCTCCCTTTCTCTTCGCCTCCATCTTCCCTCCTCCCTCATTCCCTTACCTCTCTTCCCTCCCTCCTCCTCCCTCCTCTCCCTCCCTCCCTACCTCCTCCCTCCCTCCTTCCTCCTCCCTCCCCCTCCCTCCTCCAATATGCTTCCGTCCCTCCGCAGCTAATCAATCTGATTACTACACTGGTCTCTTCCTGGATCCTGTCCGAGCTGGGCACGTCATCTTCCGCATGCTGTTGATGCCACGTTTGTTGTTCGTTTGCTTGCTTGTGTTGCATGTACGCACGTCTCTGCATACGTGTTGTTTGTGTTGCGATCGGAGCGTTTCTGGTGAGAATTTGTTTGCCCCGCTGCAGCGCCGGCTTCGTCTCAGGATCGACGCTCTGCCACCGTCGTTCAAAATGGCGCTCTCGCCCAAGCGCGGGCCACACTTCTGGATCCGAGTCCTTCACCGTCGCTGTCGCCCCGCTCCCGTCACCCTTTCCGCCTTCCGCTGGCCCTCCCGCTCTCCTGCTCCTCCCACTCCTGTTCCTGCCGCTGTTGCTTTCTTCTCGTCCTCCGCCCTCCGCATCCTGCCCGCCACCTCCTCCTCCAATTTACACAGCTTCCCTTCTGACCACCAGGGGTCTTTCGAGGGCTTCAGGTCCGCTATGACACCCGTCAGCGGATAGAAATGTCAGCGCAATGGGGATGGATGGATGGGGCGGGGCGGGATGTCAGACGAGGCGCGAGCGCACTCAGCATGTCCTTCTTCCCGTCTTCTTTCTCCTCGTCCTCCCTTCGTGCCCACTCCGCTCTCTGCAGTGTTCGAGTCGGAGATCGACTTCAGAATGCATTTACCCCAGAATTGGCATGTTGTACACTCTGCGGGACATGAGTAGACTCTTGGCAGCTCTACGAACAGTAGATGCATGTGTCGTGGATTCGACGAAAAAAACAAGCGTGGGGTACATCAATTCTGTCAGAGTGAGGGGGCCGAACGGTCATTCACTGTCCCTGGGTGCGTGGCTGATGTGGAATTCCGCGGTGCGGATTCTTGTTGTTGCTGTTGTTGTTTGTTGTTGTTGTTTGTTGTCGTCGTCCCACCCGCAACCCGCCCCGCGACCCACCCGCGACCCACCCCGCGACCCACCCCGCGATCCACCCGCGACCCCCCGCGACCCACCCGCGACCCACCCCGCGACCCACCCCGCGACCCACCCCGCGACCCACCCCGCGACCCAACCCGCGACCCACCCCGCAACCCCCCCGCGGCCCACCCCGCGACCCACCCGCGACCCACCCGCGACCCACCCGCGACCCACCCGCGACCCACCCGCGACCTACCCCGCGACCCACCCGCGACCCACCTTCGACCCAAACCACGTTCAAGGTACAAACCACAATTTTCGGCGCCTGCGGCGGGCTTTTTTGCATTCCTTCCAAGTGGAGAGCCCGCGACACATCCCGTGACCAACTCGCGACCAACCCGCGACCCAAACCACGTTCAGGGTACAAACCACATTTTTCGGCGCCTGCGGCGGGCATATTTTGCATTCGTTTCAGGTGGAGAGCCCGCGGCCCACCCGCGACCACGTTCAGGGTGCAAACCACATTTTCGGCGCCTGCGGCGGGCATCCTTTGCATTCGTTCCCTGTGGAGAACCCGCGGCCCACCCGCGACCCAAACCTCGTTCCGTGTACGAACCAATTTTTCTGGCGCTTGCGGCGGGCTGCTTTTGCATTCCTTCCAGGTGGAGGTGGAGAGCCCGCGACCCACCCGCGACCTAAACCACGTTCACTGAACAAACCAATGCCGCACAAGCGCGGCGGCGGATTCTTGCATGCCGTCTGAGCCCGCAAGGACCTCTTCACGCCCCGCACATCCACGCCAGCCCGTCCAGCAACTTTGCCCTGGCGAGTTGCCTTGATCAGAGAAGGCGGGGAGCATAAAGTGGAAAAAAGGATTGCGTTGCAGTTATCTTGGGAAAGGAGGGGGAGGCAGGATGAGTAAACAGGGGACGAGGAGAACGAGGAAGAAGAGAGGATGTAAGGAGAACGTGGAGAGAGAAAAGGAGGAGGAGCAGGAGGACGAGGGGGAGGAGGGGGAGGAGGGGGAGAAGGAGGACGAGGAGGGGGAGGAGGGGGAGGATGATGATGATGATGGACGACAATGGGAGGACGATGATGGAGGCCGATGAGGGGGAGGACGACAATGGGAGGACCATGATGAAAAGACGAGGGGGGGAGAGGGAGGACGAGGAAGAGAGGAGGAGGAGGAGGAGGACGGTGGAAGGAGGATGACGACGATGAGGACGAGGAGGAGGAGGAGGAGAAGGAGGAGGAAGAGGAGGAGAAGGAGGAGGAGGAGGAGGTGGAGGAGAGCGCCATCGACAAGGAAGGTGGGGGCCACGAGGTCCGCCGGCTCGACGACGCCCGCGTCGCCCGCGCCCGCCCCCTCACTCTTATCCGCAATTGCGGGGCGCTACGTAGTCGATCTCCTGCTCGAAGTGTGGCCTCCTCCTGCCTCGCCCCGCCTGGCCCTGCCGCCGCCTCCCGCCCCCTTGCAGTGCAAGGCCCGCCTCGCGGCACGCCCGTGATGCAGCCACGGCGGCGCGGCGCATTCCGCGTCCCCGCTGGCGTTCCCTCGGAGGGTGGCCGCGCTCGGCGCTTCGAGGGGTGTGGGGCCAGGAGGGGGTCTGAGCCTCCCAGATGGCGTCCGAGTGCAGTCAAGTCGCACAGTAAGGATGGGCAATTTTCCGTGGTTGCCTTTGCATCTTTCCCTTTCGGCTCATCCTTAGCCGCTTTCGCTGGCCGCGCCCAGCTCGACAACAGTAAAATGGCCCTCCAAGGCCTCCCAGATGGGATCCGAGAAGACGGAGACGGGGGATCGCCGATGCATCGCCGATGCATCGCCGATACATCACTGATGCATCGTCGATGCACCAGCGACGTCGGCGTGGAGAAAGTCGGGCTCCACATCGAGTCGTATCGCCAATGCATGGGCGATGCGGCGCGAACCTCCGATCCCATCTGTTCGGATCCCATCTAGGAGGCCTCTCGAAGGGTCACTCCTTCTTGGGGGGCTCGGGGCGGGAGCCGCTCCCCCGCGCTTCGCGCCGGCGCGAAGGGCCCGCACCTCCGCCGAATGTTTTTTTATCCCGGCGCCTTCCTGCGATTCTGGCCCCGCCATCGGGCCCCGGGGCCATCAGACATGGACCTGGGACGAAACATACTCATCTTATGTCTGCGTCACCCCCCAGGGGCGACGCGCGCGCGAGCCGAGAAGTCTACAAGCATAAGTTCCATGGCTCTGTGGCGGGCGCTTTCTGGCCACACCGCTCGGAAACACGATTTACAACATCACGTTCGTACCAGATGCTCGGTTCGGACAGGCGCCCCCGAGGAGGGCGCATCGTACTGGTGTGCCCTTCTGCGTCGCATCGATGGATGTCTGGCTCCCTCGCGCTTCGCCCCAGCGCGAAGGGCGGGGGGCTGGGCGACCCCGGCGGCGTGGTGGCCAGTCGGGCGCCGCGGGGCCTCTCCAGCCATCCCCGGGGGCTTCGATCCTCTGGCCTCGATCCTCGGCTCTGGTGCTCCCGCGCGCCCTTCCTGGCCCCCCGGTGGGGGGGGGGCGCCGAGGCCGCCGAGGACGCGTCCAACGGCTTCGACAAGGAGGCGGCGAAGGCTCGCCGAACAATCAAGAACGCCAGATTCGCGGGGCTGCCGCCGATTCCGCCGGCCCCCCTCGGGGCCTGGCCCGGCAGCGCGAGGTGGGGGCCCGGCGGCGTCTTCCGCGGAGGGCATCACTACACAACCGCGCCTGGCTGGGGCCATACTGGGCCCTGAGGTTGGTGTACACACGCCTGCCCCCCTCGGCCGGGCGCAGGCACTACACCAGGGCCCAGGATGGCCTTGGCCAGGCATTGTGATTCGAGAGGCCGTTGCAGTTTCGACGACACCCGAGCATTCGCAGCGCGAGGTGCTGACACTGACGCTGCTGCTGCTGATTACGATGATGGTGATGGTGATGGTGATGATGGTGATGCTGATGCTGATGCTGACGCTGATGACGATGCTGATGATGCTGATGATGCTGATGACGATGACGATGACGCTGCTGATGGTAATGCTGATGCTGATGACGATGACGATGACGATGATGCTGATGCGGATGATGATGCTGATGCTGATGCTGATGATGATGCTGATGATGCTGATGATGCTGATGATGCTGATGATGATGCCGATTACGACGATGATGACGACGATGATGACGATTCTGATGATGACGATGATGACGATGCTGATGATGAGGAGGATGAGGAGGATGAGGAAGATGAGGAGGATGGTGATGGTGATGGTGATGGTGATGGTGATGGTGATGATGATGATGATGATGATGATGATGATGATGATGATGATGATGATGATGATGATGATGATGATGATGATGATTGATGCTGATGGTAATGATGATGATGATGATGATGATGATGATGATGATGATGATGATGATGATGATGTGATGATGATGAGGAGGGGAGGAGGAGGAGGAGGAGGAAGGAGGAGGGAGGAGGAGGAGGAGGAGGGGGGAGGGGGGAGGAGGAGGAGTTGGGGGAGGAGGTTCCTGAGGAGGGCGCACGGCCCACACCACCGATGCCGAAATACAGCCTCCCGTCCCAGGGGGTCTCTTCGCTCCTCGAGGGTCAACGGAGACATTCCCTCTGCACCACGGCGAGAGCCCGTCGGAGGGGTGCCCCCCCCCTCCCCCCCGCGGCCGGAAGCCCTTGCCAGGGTGCTGCAGCGCCTGCTCTGGTCCACCACGCTTCGGCGCGATAGCAGCAGTTTTTTCCCCACCATCCTGTGGTGTTGGGTCCTCGTTTTGAGGAGACGTTGCCCCGCGTTCCTTCCTTCCTTTCCTCCTCTCCCTCCTTTCTCATCCTTCCAGGCGTCACTCATCAGGGTCGCAAGCGTTCCAGTCCAGTCCAGTCCTTCCTCCCATCCTCCCGCTTCCCTCCCCCTCCTCTCACCCCTGCCTCTACCCTCCGCAAGCCCTCACCTTCATCATAATCATCATCATCATCATCATCATCATCATCATCATCATCATCATCATCATCAGCATCAGCATCAGCATCAGCATCAGCATCAGCATCAGCATCATCATCAGCATCAGCATCAGCATTATCATCATCACCATCACCATCATCAGCATCATCCTCATCATCAGCAGCGTCAGCAGAAACAGCATCATAATCGCCATCATCATTGTCATCATCATCATCATCATCAACAAAATCATCGTCATCAGCATCATCAGCAGCATCATCATCATGGTCATCATCAAGATCATCGCCATCACCATCATCATTACCATCACCATCATCGTCATCATGATCATCATCATTATCATCATCATCAGCGTCAGCACCATCATCATCATCATCATCAGCATCATCATCATCATCATTATCATCATTATCATCATCATCAGCAAATCAGCAGCAGCATCATCATCATCGCCATCGCCATCGCTATCGCCATCGCTATCATCCACATCGTCACCATCGCCATCGTCAGCATCGTGCCTCTGCTCTCCTCATGTGCACCGTTTCGGCCAGCCCCTCACACGGTTCGTGGCCGCACAGGGACCTCCACCGAAGGCCCCAATGGCTGCGTTCACATGCGACCCGCGCCCATTTCGGTACACCCCTCACACGGTTCGTGGCCCCATACGGGGCAACACCGAAGGCCCCAATGGTTGTGTTCACATGCGTCCCGCGCCCATTTTGGCACACCCCTCACGCGATTCGTGGTTGCATAGGGAGCTCCACCGAAATCCCCAGTGGAAGCGTTCACATGCGTCTCGCGTCCATTTCGACACACCCATCACACGGTTCGTGGCCCCACAGGGAGCTCCACCGAAGGCCCCATTTGCTATGACCACTGGCGTCCCTGCCACCCATGTAGACACGCCCCTCACGCGATTCGTGGCCTCACAGGGAGCGCCACCGAAGGCCCCAGTGGCTGTGACCACATGCGTCCCCACCATTATTTCGGCACACCCCTCACACGTTTAGTGGCCACATAGGAGCTCCACCGAAGGCCCCAGTGGTTGCGTTCACATGCGTCCCGCGCCCATTTCGCCACACCCATCACACGGTTCGTGGCCCCATAGGGAGCTCCACCGAAGGCTCCAGTGCCTGTTGCCACACGCGTCCCCGACGCCCATGTCTGCACACCCCTCAAACGCTTCGTGGCCCCATATGGAGCTCCACCGAAGGCCCCAGTGGCTGTGACCACAGGCGTCCCCGGCACCCAATTCGGCACACCCTTCACACGTTTCGTGGCCGAAGGCCCCAGTGTCTGTGACCACATGCGTCCCCGCCACCCATTTCGGCACACCCCTCACATGTTTCGTGGCCCCCAATGGTTATGACCGCATGCGTCCCTGCCACCCATGTAGGCACACCCCTTACACGGTTCGAGGCCCTGTAGGGAGCACCACCGAAGGCCCCAGTGGCTATGACCACATGCGCCCCTGCCACCCATGTAGGCACACCCCTCACACGGTTCGTGGCCCTGTATGGAGCACCACCGAAGGCTTCAATGGCTGTGCCCGCAGGCGTCCCCGCCACCGATTTCGGCACACCGCTCACACGTTTCGTGGCCCCATACCTACGGGGCTCCACTGAAGAGGATGCGCACCACTGAGGTACTCATAACTGCACATGGTTGGGTCTTTCGCCAGGATAGTTATGCATTGTTTTTCTTGTTGGCGCGGGCCCCGGTTTCTTTCTCGCCCTCCCCCCATAGACCAGAACTTGGCTGATCTGTGGGGCTGCTTTTGGCTACTGGTCAGGACCCACCCCCGTCAGTCTGCTTGCATGACTGGCTGAAGGAGATCGACCAAACAGTGGCCCAGACCCAGACCCCCCCTCACCAACCCTTCGGCCAACTGTCGATACCCAGAATAAATCTTAGCCAGCGTGGTTCACAAACAGTGTGTTTCCATCAGTAGATGTAGATTGTCCAATATATGTCGTGCAATCTATGTAGTGCACTTTATGTGGTGCAATAAATGGTGTACAATCTATGTGGAACGCAATCTATGCGATGCCAATCGACGCAGTACACTACATGTGGTGCAACCCGTGTTGTGCAATCTAGGTGGTACACCCTATGTGCTGCAATATGTGTTGTGCAACCTATGCAGTGCACTCCTATGTGGTGCAACACATGTTGGGCAATCTATAGTGCGCAATTGATGTCGTGCAATATAGGTGGTGCAGTATTCGTGGTGACATCTATGTGGTGACACCCATGCTGCAGTCTATGTTGTGCAACATAGGTCGTGCAATCTACGTGGGTCGCAATCGGCGGTGCAATCGATCGACGTGGTGCAACACGCGTGGTGCAGCCGATGTTATGCCAGTTATGTTGCGCAGTCTAAATGGTGCAATATGTGATGTGAAATCCATGCCGTTCAATCTATGTGGTGCAATTGATTTTTACCCATGATTTGACACATCCCACGCTCTTGCAAACATCCCACCCACCCACCCGCAACTTGCTTTGCAAAACCTCTTAAGACCGACTACGACGACACCGACGACAACGACTACGACGACACCGACGACGTCTCCGACGACTTCGACGACGACAACGACGCCGACGCCGACGACGACGAAGACGACGACGACGCCAACGAAGACGACGACGAGGGAGGAGGAAGGACGACGACGGCGACAACGACGACAACGACGACAGCGACGAGGGAGGAGGGAGGACGGCGACGACGCGAACGACGAAGAAGGAGGAAGGACGGCGACGCCGACGACGACAACGACGAGGGAGGAGGGAAGACGACGACGACGACAACGACAACGACGACGACGACGACGACGGCGACGAAATAGGAGGGACGACGACGAGACGCCGACGACGGACGACGACGACGACGAGGGAGGAGGAGGAAGGACGACCACGGCGACAACGACGACGGAAACGACCGCGACGCCAAAGAGGACGACGTCGACGACGAACACGAGGAAAGACAGAGGACGACGTAGGCGACGACGACGACGACGCGGGAGGAGGGAGGACGGCGACGACGACGACGACGCAAGAGCGCGCGCGCACGCTTTTGTTGAAAATCCGTGTTGCGGAACCTTGTGTTTTTTTGTAGGTTTTTTGGACACACGATGTTGACATCCTTCCGAAACCGATGGGTTTTGAAGGTTTTCGGCATACGCGCGCGACGACGCGCGCGTCTGCACCTCGTCCCGTTTTTTGCAGAGGATTCTCGCGACGGCACACGCGCAAGGGCGTTCGACAGATTTCGACATGCGCGCGCGCGAAACCCGTTTAATAGCATTTTGTGAAAATCTTGAAAAACCAATGGTTTTCTTAAGATTTCGCAAGAGCTCGCGCGGAAGCTCTTTTAGCAAATCAGTGTTGCGAAACCCTGTGTTTTTGTATGTGTTTTTGGAAACTCGATTGCGAAGTCCTTCCGGCACCGACGGTTCCTGAGTGTTTCGGCATGCGCGCGCGACGACGCGCGCGTGTGCACATCGTCCCGTGGTTTTGAAAAGGATTCGTGAACAAGTGTTCTGTTAGAACAAAAAATGTCACCGCAGAGTGTTTTCCACAAGGGAACCTCAGGGGGGGAACCCGGTTGGCCTGGGACATTGTGATTTCATAGGCAGGATGGACATGT